CTCTTGCACTGCTGGTGGGAATGTGAATTGGTACAGCCACTATGGAGAACAGTATGGAGGTTCCTTAAAAAACTACAAATAGAACTACCATACGACCCAGCAATCCCACTACTGGGCATAGACCCTGTGAAAATCATAATTCAAAAAGAGTCATGTACCAAAATGTTCATTGCAGCTCTATTTACAATAGCCAGGAGATGGAAACAACCTAAGTGTCCATCATCAGACGAATGGATAAAGAAGATGTGGCACATATATACAATGGAATATTACTCAGCCATAAAAAGAAACAAGGTTGAGCTATTTGTAGTGAGGTCGATGGACCTAGAGTCTGTCATACAGAGTGAAGTAAGTCAGAAAGAGAAAGACAAATACCATATGCTGACATTTTTAAGAAAAAAAATGTCATGAAGAACCTAGGGGTGAGACAGGAATAAGGGGCTTCCCTGGTGGCGCAGTGTTTGAGAGTCCACCTGCCAATGCAGGGGACACGAGTTTGTGCCCCGGTCCGGGAAGGTCCCACATACCGCGGAGCGGCTGGGCCCATGAGCCATGGCCGCTGAGCCTGCGCGTCCGGAGCCTGTGCTCCACAACGGGAGAGGCCACAACAGTGAGAGGCCCGCGTACCGCAAAAAAAAAAAAAAGAAAGAAAGGAATAAGGACGCAGACCTGCTGGAGAATGGACTTGAGGATGTGGGGAGGGGGAAGGGTAAGCTGTGACAAAGCGAGAGAGTGGCATGGACATATATACACTACCAAGCGTAAGGTAAATAGCTAGTGGAAAGCAGCCGCATAGCACAGGGAGATCAGCTCAGTGCTTTGTGACCGCCTGGAGGGGTGGGCTGGGGAGGGTGGGAGGGAGGGAGATGCAAGAGGGAAGAGATATGGGAACATATGTATATGTATAACTGATTCACTTTGTTGTAAAGTGGAAACTAACACACCATTGTAAAGCAATTATGCTCCAATAAAGACGTAAAAAAAAAAAGACTGGGAGCAATTACTAAATAGAATAACTAGATCATAAATGCAGAGAACTGCAGAGGTCATCTTCTAATCCAACCTCTCTGTCTTACAGATGCAAAAAACACTAGAAAAGTCACAGCTAGACTCAGGTTGTCTCCTCATTAAGTCCACTTAGTTTCCTCTACAGTAGATTTCATCCTTCCACTTTATTTCTTTGTAAAGTGTAAGAATTTTAGCACATTTCTTAAGGCAACTAAATATTGTGTTAAAACTTAATTTATAAAAGATAGCACGTAACACTGATGTAAACTATTTTAAAACAAAGAACTTCAAGCAAAAAGGAAAAACACATGTTAAGTACTAATATCAAGGTAGCAAATGATAAATCAGTAAGAAACAGTAAAGAAATGTTGCCCATGTATAGCTATTACCTATTGTTATCAGTTTAATTCTTTCCCCCTCAAAAAACATACTTTGGAGTTCTAACCCCTGGTAACTTCAGAATGTGACCTTCTGTGGAGATTTACAGAGGGAATCAAGTGAAAATGAGGTCATGGGGTGGGGTGGGGGGCTAATCCTATATGACTGGAGTCCTTATAAAAGGGAAATTTGGACACAGAGCCAGGCATGCATAGAGGGAAGAACCATGGGGAGAAAAGGAGAGGGGCCTGGGACAGATCCCTCCCTCACAGCCCCCAGAAGGAGCCACGCCCACTGACATCTGGACTGCAGGCTTCTAACCTCTAGGTCCATGAAACAACAAACTTGTGCCGTTTAAGCCACTCAGTCTGTGGTACTTTGTTACAGCAGCCCCAGGAAACTAATAGAGCAGTCTTCACTTTTAAATGATTTCAAAAAACCAAAACTTGTACTTACGCCATAGTATTTTTTGGGCTTTAGAAACAGAGGTAGGTGGAATTACTAATCAGGGATTCGTTACAATTGATTTTGTGCTGAAACCAAACCCACAAGACAAGTACAAACACTTACTTCACTTCTAAGGAGTTGCTCTGCTTTGCTTCTATTCATATTTCTGCAATACCATCTGAAGAGAAAAAGGTATGTTTAAGGCCTCAGGTTTTTAAAATTGTCCTTTTTTCTTTTTAGGATTAGTAAGGTATTGATAATATTACTCATCAATAACAAATAATAAATAAGAACAAGGACTCATTCATAATCTCAATAATATAGACAACCACTAGTAACATTTGGATACACATACATGCAGACTTTTTCTACCTATATTTTTATGAAGACACATATGTATGCCAACATTCTTATTTTCTGTATTAAAGTGAGGTCAAGCTACACTTGCTATATCAGAACCTGAATCTTTCATATAACGGTATACGATACACACCTTTGCAAAGCAATGTAGTCCTGTGCATCACGGTCTGGATGCACCATCATTTATTTAAGTGATTCTTCATTATTTAACATAAAAATCATTTCCAATTTTTAACTATTATAATAATAGCAAGAATGAATTTTACCCCACTGACTCAAATACGCAGGAAATGTCACCACGTTATTGTCTTGGATTCCAATTAAATCTAATCCCAAGCCCCCAACAGGCAGTAGATTTCATCTCCAATCATCATGAAGCCTCCCCCGCAAATTTCACGAAGGTCCCAAGTATTGAAAGAAACAGAGCAAAACAGAAGAGCAGGCCTCCTGGGTCTTCCAGACTTACTGGTTCCAGCACAGCCCCGACCCCTGGCAGCCCTCCGAAGGTCTACTGTAGGAATCCCACCAGGGCCAAGCAGTGGCACCTGCCCTCCCACCACTCTGTGCCAAGCCCCTGCATATCGGTGCCCCTGCTTAACCTTTGAGCAATCTTTCCTAAGGAAAGATGGATACTGCCATCTCCCACCTCATCCTCAGAGGTACTTCCCTCTCCCTGCTTCCCCTAGCCCATGCTCTCCAGGGGATTATGAGCAAGTTGGCCAAAGGAGATGAACTCAGACTGTCAGCTTTAAACTTGGATTTTTGTTTTGTGTTGTGTTGTTTGTTCTAGATGGACCTTAGTGGGCAGAGAATCCTCCATCCAGTCCTATTTCCCAAGGATTCCAATGTTATGAAGCCAGCTTGGCCCCTCTAAACCCGTGAAGTTTCCACCACTGCCTCAGCCTTTTATAAAAGAAACAGCACCTGCTTTTGGCCCAGCAAACACCCCGAGACAAGCGAATACAAAGGCCTTCCCTGACTGAGAAAGGGAAAAATACAAAGAAAAAAATACAAGATCATTTTTGGTCTGGATTCTTTCATGCAGTTGGAGGGGACAAACACAAATTATAATCTCAACACAAGCCAAAAACTGTTATTTTATTTGGAGCCTGAAGTGATTAACCAGGCCTCAGAATTGTGGGTATTAAGATCTCATTGTTGTGGACCCCACTTTATGAACTGAGACCAAGTTCAACAAAATTACAAATTTAAATTCTGATCAATTTCTGAATGCAACTGAGGGATAAAATAAATGAGGAGAACAGAATGGATTCTATCCCTAAAGCTTTCCCACTGATAGGAGAAATATTTGTCAGGATACCAAAAACAACCATAAAAGTTAATTAGAAAAGGTAGCTGCAGCTCTCATTATGCATTATAAACCAGCAGGACCTGAAAGATTGAAAAAAAAATTCTCTTTATTAATCACAGGAGATCCAAGCCCACATCTTCACAGTGAGAGTAAGTGATGGAGGCTCAGGCTCACGTTCAGATGCAAGAAATCAGTAAAGCTAGACTGTGGCTCTCAAGAGAAATTTGATATAAGATACTCAGAGAAAGAAAAAGGTCCTTTCCTCATTTGGTATATTCAAGCTCCTGGGAAGGGATAAAAGAAATAAGGAAAGAAAAAAAAGTCCACAGCACAAATCCTATTCTAAGTCGTCATTTGTATGGTATTTGCAGTTTCCCCAGAAAGGATGTTTTCCTCCCTAGGATATAAACTCAGACCCTGAAGGGTACGTTGAAGGAAGGAAAGGAGGAAGGAGTGATGAACAAATCAAAAGATGAGTCATCGGGCTTCCCTGGTGGCGCAGTGGTTGAGAGTCCGCCTGCCGATGCAGGGGACACGGGTTCGTGC